GGGGGGGGTTATGGACATTGGGTAGGGTATGTGCTATGGTGAGTGCTGTGAAGTTTGTAAACGTGGAGATTCACAGACCTGTACCCCTGGGGGAAAAAATATATATATATCTTTATAAAAAATAAAATTATTAAAAAAAAAAAAAAAAGATATGAATTCCTAGAAACGTCTTAGGACCTTACAGGAATATTTCATTTTAGACTACCAGTGTGTTTGTTGAATTGAATATTTTATAAGGTGGGTGAGAATAACTTCGACCTTTGATGCATTAAAATGAAAAAATATATAAGCAAAAGAATTGGCATAATAGAAAAATTAATATCTGGTGCCAAATCTAGAAGTTTCTTGGTTTCTTGCCCTCTCACCAAGTTAAAACTCTCCATTCCCCCAGACTTACCTTTGTCTTTTACACCATAGTTGTGGCTAGATTTGGGGTGTGATAATTTTTGGCATAGAAAACTTAATTTTATTATTATAAGTATGGTGATTTTTTTTTAAAGAGTTTATTTATTTATTTGACAGGCAGAGATCATAAGTAGGCAGAGGGGAAAGCAGGCTCCCTGTTGAGGAGAGAGCCCGATGTGGGGCTTGATCCCAGGACCCTGAGATCATGACCTGAGCTAAAGGCAGAGGCTTAACCCAGTGAGCCACTCAGGCGCCCCTGATTTTTTTTTTTTTTTTTATGTTCGTTTTGAGCAAAGGTATCTTAAGCATTTAGCACAATTAAAAGGAAGAGTGGAAAAGAAAATAAAGCTGGATTATATACATTTTACATTTGGGGACTATTTGAAAATTTTAGGTAATTAAACATCTTTGCGCTTGACATTGGGAAATAACTAAAATAACAAAGGAAATCTCTCTAAATTGGTAGAGAAGGAGGCTTGTCACTCAGCACAGGTGTGATCGTCTCTCATCCAGGAAACCAGGGTTTTAGACAAACAGCTTATCCTTAAATCTCTTCTTGCATTCTTAAAGCCTCAAGGGGGCTGCTTAATTATCATATTTGCAAATAATATTCCTGGATTTCTGACTCTAGATTTCACACTTAAAACTTTGTTTAAATATGTCAGCTCTGCGAAGCTGTTCATAATCATTTATAGATGTGTATGTGCTCAAGGACATAGCTCTCAGTACCTTGATAGGATTGTCTTTGGGACTTTTGATGATCATGGTAGTTTTACCTTGGCTCAGAAACCTAGCTTCGCTAGTTCATATTCCACTTCCCTTAGTACCACCTTAAACATGACCATATAAAATGGAAAAATAATGCAGGACCTAAGGACAAACAAAACACCATCTTGGAAAAGCACAAAATACAGTAGAAAAGAACACAAGGCTAGATTTTGATTTTGACTCTGTAAAAGTTACCTTTCTTAAAATCGGTTTTTTTACCTATAAAATTTTCTAAGACCATATAAAACTATAGTGCTATGAACCGGAAGGAAGGTAATTCTCATAGCCAACTTTGCTGAGTAAATACGATATGATCCTCTCAGATCTGCTAGATTTCAACACGGTAACAGTTCCTCTATGTATCTGGCTCTGCAGGTTTATCCTCAATTGTGTGTCAGTTTATTCTTAGAAGAATGGCTAGTAGTACTGGGTAGTAATAAAAATAATAGGAGAAACCATCTCCTGAGTGGTTGGTATGTGTCAGGTAATAACACCAGACACTTAATACCCATGATTTCATTTAACCTTGACAGTAACTCCTAGGATGTACTACAGTTACATTTTACTGTTGAAGGAACCTTGGGTGTCGAGAGCTTAAAGAACATGCACACAGCCAAGATTTGAGCCATCCCTCTGGCTCCGGAACCTGTGGGCCATCTCCCACTGCCTCTACTAGGTATCCATTTACAACATCGCTGAGGGTTTTTCTCCAGGGGGTGCAGTTGACTTGAAGTATCGGTTAGTAAATTACACCCATTTTCAAACCTGATTATCTTTACAAAGAGTGGTTGAAGATAAAAGGTAGTTTAAATAGGGGAAAAAAAAAAAAGAGCAAAATTAGTCATCAGTAGGACTAGACATTCTCAGTTAAAAATCAACTTATGAGTGAGGATTTTTATCTGTGTTTTGATTATGTTTAGGTGAATGAAGCTTTTGCTCCTCAGTACTTAGCAGTCGAGAAGAGTTTGGGTCTTGACCCAAGTAAGACCAACGTGAATGGTGGAGCCATCGCTCTGGGTCATCCCCTGGGAGGATCTGGATCGAGAATTATGGCACATCTGGTTCATGAATTAAGGTATTTGCTAGAAGTTGTTACGTTTCATATTTGCCATTTTGGTTAAAAATGCGTGGATTTGGGTTTCCTCAGAACAGTCCAGCATTTTCCATTCGTCCTCATATCCCCATGTACTGCTGCTCACCAGGAAGACGTTACATTGCTGCACCCTTTGCGACTGACAGTGTAGATGGCCCAGCTGACCTGTTAGAGCTCTACACTTGGGATGTGCACGCTTCCTCGTGTTGTCGAGGCCTTGTTCGTTGTCGTGTTCTTACACTCTAGTGCCAGTTACAAGAGTGAGATACGGTTCTTTAGGAGAACAAACCCAATATTGGGAGGATTCTGAGCTAGTGGCTGTCATTTAAGAAACCGGAGCAAACTGCTAGTTTGGGTCTGAGCTAAGTGTTTCCTTCACCGGTGCCAGGGTTCCAGAAGAGCCCTTCTGTGAGTCTGATACTTCTCAGTTTTAATACAAGAGCTCCTCCTTCTGGTACTGTGTAGTTTGGACCATTTTGCTCTGTTAGGAAGAAGCAAAAAACGAAATACGTCAAGCCAGAAAAAAAAAAAAAGAATCACTCTGGCTCCTGTTAGGTTAAGGTAAATGGGATTCATTTCTATTTTTTATTTTATTAAGAATTTATTTATTAGAGAGTGCACAAGTAGGGGGGTGGCAGTCATAGAGAGAGGGAGAAGCAGACTCCCCACTGAGCAGGGAGCTCAATTCCAGGACCCTGAGATCATGACCTGAGCTGAAGGTCATGATTGCTTAACCAACTGAGCCACCCAGGTGCCCCTCATTTAATAATTCACGGAGTCGAAATGAGTAATGTGCACCAGAAAATTCCTAGGTGGTTTCTCTAGGATTGAGCAAGAATAGATCGTGGTCTAGAGGAATCTAATTTTTATGCAAGGGACAAGAAATGCTTCTAAATCATCCACCCGTCCACATGGGCACACTTCACTGATTGCCCTTTCTCTCCTGTGCCATGAAAATCAGAGGCCGGCCCCTTCTTCAGCTTCCTTTTCATCTCCGTGACCTCCTGGCCCCTCTCCTTTCTCAGAGCACACCTCAGCTTCTAGATCTGTTTCGGCTTCTCTCTTCTCTGTTAACACCTTCTTATAATAAAAATACTGTTTCCTGAATTCCTTACCTTGTGACTCTAGATCAGTATTGAGGCCTGGAGAAAAGATGGAGACACTGAGCTGAATGAGGATGAATAATGCAGATGTGGTCATTATTCATTCTAGTTCTTTAATTTTCTAATTAGTTCTGTTTTTGTTTTTTTTTTTTAAAGATTTTATTTATTTGTCAGAGAGAGAGGGAGAGAGAGCGAGCACAGGCAGACAGAGTGGCAGGCAGAGGCAGAGGGAGAAGCAGGCTCCCTGCAGAGCAAGGAGCCCGATGCAGGACTCGATCCCAGGACGCTGGGATCATGACCTGAGCCGAAGGCAGCTGCTTAACCAACTGAGCCACCCAGGCGTCCCAGTTCTGTTTTTTATTTGAGTAGATTTCAGCCACTGCTTTCTCTTCTAGGCGTCGGGGCGGGAAATACGCTGTTGGGTCAGCTTGCATCGGCGGTGGCCAAGGCATTGCCGTTATCATCGAGAGCACGGCCTGAGGGGCAGGGGACGGACGCAGCGAGGCCCCCTTGTACTGTCTGGGCCGGGCCACAGCAAAGCAGGGGATCTTCGGAGCAGCTACGAAATGAGACGTGCCCTCTACTGCAAGTGGCTGAGTGTGATTAAGGGATAATGAGGCAAAGATGTATTTCTCATGAATAAAATAAGTTCTCTCAAATGCATACAAAATACGATATATTTCTGCACAAAAGTCCAACTACAGAGGCCTTAAAAGAAATTGTATTCTCTTGCCATGTAATTACCACAAATGCCTTAGATAATACGATTGTAAGAAAATGGAATAAATACTGCTCTAACTTCTGCTGATCCTTTAATGTCTTTCTTGGATTTTTAAAAATCTCTTAATTGAGGAAAAAATACACATACCATAGAATTTACCATCTTAACCATTTTTAAGTGACATCAAATACGTTCCCACTGTTGTGCGACCGCCGGTAGCCTCTGGACTTGCTTCGTCTTGCAGAGCTGAAATTCTGCCCCATTCAATACAGACTCCCCAGCTCCCTTACTGCCCCCCACTGCCACCCCAGCAAGCGCCATTCTTTCTACTGCTTTTAGACTACTCTAGGCCCCTCACAGAAAGGGAATCCTAAAGGAGCTGTCCTTTTGTGCCTGGGTTATCTCACCCAGCATCACATCCTATCACGTGTCAGCACTGCCGCCTTTTCTAAGAACATTCCACTGTATGTATAGACGATGTTTGTCTGTCCTTCCATGCACCTGTGGACACTTGTGTTGCTTTTGTGATGAGTATCTCTTCATGGCCCTGCTCTCAGTTCTTCTGGGCACGTTCCCAAAAGTGGAATTATTTCTAGGACTTGACAAAGAGTTTTCCATAGCAGCGGCACCCTTTTACCCTCTCACCAACCTTGCACAGGGGTTTCCAATTTCTCCACATCCTGCACAGATACCTGTCCTTTTCTGTTTTTTAGAATAGCCATCCTGGTGGGGGTGCGGGGCAGCTCCCTGTGGTTCAGAGTTGCATTTCCTTAACGATCCGTGATGTTGAGCATCTTTTCCCAGGCGTATTGACCATCCCTACATCTTTTTTGAAGAAATGTCTATTTTAAGTCCTCCTCCCATTTTTTAAGTTGAATCGTTTATTTTTTTGGTGTAGTTGAATTGTCTTTTTTTTTTTTCCCAATTTGAAAACCAGTTTAACTTTGTTAAGTGATGTTCAGAATTCATTCTGAGATAAATGTCCCAAGGAGCAAATTACTGAACTTAGTCTTGATACCAATAAATGGTATATGTATTACTTGGAAGTGAAGGGGATGCTATCATTATTATTGTAACTGTGGGGCAACAAGTGTCACCTGGAACTATATCCTAGGCAAATGGGGACATAGAGGCGCCCTACTTTGAATTGACCAAAGTGCATGTCAGTGACCACCTCAAGGTTAAGAAAGCTGAGCAAATACTGTTTCAGTACGGACTGTTGGATTAGACGATTATAAAGGAGTTGGTCAGGGTAGACACCTCGCTGTCCTAACAGTTGAACAAACACCTAAAGGAGGTGATCATTGGCCATGCAGATAGCTGGGAGAAGAGTGGGTCCTAAAGCAGGCGTGCCCTCGGTGTGCCCTCGGTGTGCAAAGAGCCAGCATGACGAGTGGAGGGAGCAAGATGGAGAGGGGCTGGAGAGGAGTCAGAGAAGCAGCTGGGTGCATATCACGTGGGCCCGAGAAGCCACTGTAGGGACTTGGGCTTTTATTCTGAGTAAAACGGACCCACTGCAGGCTTTGGAGTCGAGGAGAGACATCACCTGACTTAGAGGAAGGATGCCTCGGTCTGCCTGCTTGAACTGTGGAAGAACAACGTGGGAAGCAGGGAGACCAGTCAGGATGCCACTGCCCTAATCCAGGCCAAGAAACAGCACTGTTCTCGGACCTAGACGGGGCAACCGGGCAGTGAGAACCTGCCAGGCTCTGCTTATATTCTGAAGATGGAAACTAGAGATCTCCTCCTGGCTTGGCTGTTGGTTGGGAGAGAAAAGTCAAGGATGACTCCCGTGCTTCCTGCGCTTCCTAGCCGCGGGGATGGGAAAGTTTGGTTCAGACATCCCAGCGGAGATGCTGAACGGGCACCTAGGGGAAGGAGTCTCCGTGTGGTGGGGGGGCCAGATCTGTAAGTCACTGGCATTTAAATAGGAGGTGATCAAGAATTAGTGGCCTCCACCCTGGATGGATCGAAGCAAGGCAGTTCTTCCTCCTGTACACATTCCTTGGTTTTCATTTTTATGACTTAAAGAAAATCTTGAAGAATGAGAATAATATGTAAAGCCAAGTATCTCTGCATTGCCTTTCTGAAGACTGATCCAGTGCTTTCCTAGTTTCTCCTCACTCCACACAGTAAGTGCCATCTCTTCGCACCTTCATGGAAAAAAACTAATTTTTTTTTTGTTAAATCATCACTTAAAATGTAGGATGGGAGCATACGTTTTTAAAGGTACTCTAAAAGGCATGCCTTTGTAAATGAGAAATAACTGAAATAATTTTTTTAAAGGTTTTATTTATTTGACAGAGATCACAAGTAGGCAGAGAGGCAGGCAGAGAGAGAGAGGGGAAAGCAGGCTCCCTGCTGAGCTGAGAGCCCCTGGGGGTCCATCCCAGGACCCTGAGATCATGACCTGAGCCGAAGGCAGAGGCTTAACCCACTGAGCCACCCAGGCGCCCCCTCGCCTCCCCTGTTTTCTTTCTTCAAGTGAATCCTGGGTTTTATAAATTGGGTTAACTTGCAATGAGGAGTCTGTGCACCAGCCTGAAACCCGGGGACACTTGTCCCCTAGGTGGCACTACAGGTCTGTGCTGTCCTGGTCCATATCTCAGCAGCATCTCAGAGATGCTTCTCCACAAAGTTGGCCACTCTGGGTCCTCCTCACCTCCTGGGAATAGAGGGAGAGAAGGAGCTAGCAGTAAAGAAACTTTGGAATGCAGGTGGGGGACAAAAATCTCTTTCACCTGTTGTCAGTGCGGGTCCCAGTGAAGGAATCTGGAAGTCCCTCTGGCCAAGGACACTGCCCCTTATCGCTCCACAGTGGAAACAGCAGAAGCAAAGCCCCAGAGCTAACTGGGGTTTACCCACTGGTCAAGCCTTTGCGAGGCTCTGCACCCTGCCCCAGCCCCGCCCCTGCCAGTGGGGGCACAGGGAGACTGGGCTGGGGACAGAGTCTGGAGCAGCAGAGCTAATGAGGCAGCAACCATCGTAGTCCCTGCCCCCTGCACCCTCAGGGACACTTGGAACCTGTGGGGCTCCTCTTCCCCACTCCAGACCCTAATTACTCCAGAGACCCCGGCTGCCCCCAGAGCAAGGGCTGCAGGGAGCTGCTTGCATTCTGCCACCCTTGACCTCAGCCAATGGGCCAGAACCAGTGCTGCCCGAGGGCTGTGGGAGCAGCTGGGACATGGAGCAAAGACACATGGGAGCTGTGTGTCCTGGGCCCTGGCCTTGCTTCCCCAGGGACAGGAGCGCTGCCTTGGATTCCCTGCACACCACAGTGCCTCTGGTGTGAGAGCCTCAGTAGAGGAGCAGGCATCTGACGGAGGCAAAGCTCTTCGGGAAGGTGGCCTGAGCGGGAGACAAGGCCCCGTGTGTCTGGGTGCGGTGACACCCACCCTCCCCACCATGCGCCATGTTCCGGTAAGTCAGAGCAAAGGGGACTAATGAGCGGGGGTGTTTACAGACACTCCCGAGAGGCCCAAAGTCAATGCAGACACCAGGAACTCAGACGGAAGTAAAAACCAGACTTGGGCTCTGAACATGCAGTTTCTCAGGAGCCTTTCAGGTATCAGACAAGATAAAATCAGAAACTACAGAATGAGGGAACATGTCAGTACCGCGAGCAAGGAGCAAGCTGTGCTGGTTATTCACACACACACACACACACACACACACGTCCCACTGCACATCTAGGCAGCAAGAAGAAGCAAAGACACCAGCAGCTGAAGCCCACGGGGCCCATGGACTCCTAGCCCAGCCAGTCTTTAGATCTGTCTTGCTCTGACCATGGGCTTGGGGCTGGGAAACGATGGGATGGGGGGAGCCAGGACCTCAGTCTGACCGTCCCCCAGGGCTCTAGGCCCGCATCTCTAGGGAGAACCAGCCCTGAGTGAGGGCCATGTGCCAGGTGGGAGACTTGTGTTCCACATGCTGCTGTGTGCCCATCGTGGGTGTGAGCTCCCAGACGTGAGCCTGGACCCACCACTCTGTTCCCACTGCACGTGGTCAGTGGAGAGAACAAGACCTCCAGCTGGAGGGATGACGGCCAAGTGAGGACAAGCCAAGTTACGAAGGATGCCATCATCTTGAGCCCCTCTGAGCTTTCTAAATGACTTCTTCTAAATGACTTCTAAATAAAGTTCTAGAACACATAGGAGGAAGAACTCTCCACATGGGTGCAAAGCAGCTCTAGCAAGTCTTCTCCAGGACATGGTAGAGGGTGAAAAGAGAAATGCCCTTAAGACCAGAAATGTCAACTGTAAACTATTGCACACTGCCTTATAACTAGGTTTTAAAATACATAGGCAGGGGCACCTGGGTGGCACAGTTGGTGAAGTGTCCAACTCCTGGTTCCAGCTCAGGTCCTGATCTCGGGATCACGGGACAGAACTCTGAGGCAGGCTCTGTACTCAATGGGGAATGCAGAGAGTGGGGACTGCTTAAAGCTTCTCTCCCTCTGCCCCTTCCCTTCTGTGTACTCACTCTCACAAATAAATTAAAATATATATATATATTTTATGTAATGGATAGGTCATTCCATTAAAATGCTAGTGGTGGTCATGCCAAGATGGCGGGGGTGGCATGGGGGGAGATAATACGATCAACGGAAGTCCTTCCGTAGCAATGACACAAACCTCTGAGACATACAGGTGAATCTCACAAGCATGTTTTTGAAAAAAGACCAAAAACAATGCATACTCTATAATTCCATTGACCTGATGTTCAAGAGACAGGTGAAACTAATCCATGATGATAGAGGTCAGAACAGTGGTTTCCCTTGGAGGGAGTCGCTCCTGAGAGGGACACAAGGGTGCGCGTTAGGGTGCAGGAATGTTCTCCATTTTTGTCTGGGCGGTGGTGACACAGATGTACACATATGTAAAAATCCATTGAGCTCTACACTTAATGGGTTGTGACAGAGTGGGTTCTTAAAGGGAACCAAGGGTAGATGAAGGACTATTTGAGGAAGCTGGAGTGGCCAGCATCCATGGCCAGCCGGGCCTTCCCACACATACACGGCTACCCCTCATCGGAGTTGCGTTGTTCTAGGTGGATCGTGGGCCTAATACAGCGGATCCATGACGGTG